AGAGGAGGCTAGTTGTACACCTTGCTGGGGTCGTTTGACCCCAGTACTTTTTCCTGCCATGGCAGGGGTTCAGACTAGATGATCTGCTCAGGTCCCTTCCGACCCTAGAAACTATGAAACTATAAACTATGAAACTACACAAAATAGAAATGTGATGTTGTGGCATTCATCCGGTTGGTGGGCTGGGGAAAGGGTTTTATATATCATCATGCTGGTGTTAGTTCGCTTATTTCTCTTGCATTATGAGCATTATCTTGGAGTGCTTTATAGTACGCTTCTGGGGGTAGTAGATGCATAATATGGTCTTTTATGAGGCTTATGTAACTCCCTTAAGGAGTACACTAATTGCTTTGAGAGAATGCAGCCTGGGAATCCATTTTTTGCTTTTATGAATGGGAATTAAGATGAAAAATAAGAGAAATGGTTGGTCCCATGCTGTTGCGCTTGACTCATTGGTTGCTAGTGATCTCATGGCTATATCAGAAAAACAGCTTCATTTATGTCTGGTGCTCTAAGACAGTTGTCCTTATGAAGTCTGAGTCATGTTCTCCAGTACAACTCATTACCAGGATCAGGATCTTGTAGGTGAAACTTGGTTGTTTCTAATAAAAACTATTGTTTTGTGTTTGAGAATGGCAAGACAGGTTACATATAGCCACAAACCGGAGTAATAACAGTTATGTTAGGTGGGATGAGGAGTGTCCAAACAAACTGCTGCAGAGCATGACATATTAGAGGGGAAGAGAGACAAGCTACACTGTTTCATTCTGCTTCCTGTCTGCTGGAAGCATGAAAAAAAGCTGGTGAGAATTTGAATTTTTTTTAAATCCAAGACCACACAGTTGCTAGCTTTTTTTTTTCTTTCTTTAACCTGGCCTCACTCTAGCAGCAAAACAAAATTAACCCCCCTCCACCCTCCTATTTTCATGATTATTATGAGTTTCACTTCCAAAATCTGTCTGCCACTAGAGTTCTGTTCCTGCTGATCACTTATCCATTGCATGCTGTAAAGGTAAGCAGCACTCAGTCCTTCCTTAAAAGAAAGGACAGGATAATTTTGTTTTGAAAAATTACAGACACGGGGAATATGTACAAAATACTGTATCCACTAATGTTGATTTAAGAGTGAGACTAATTTAGCACCCAAATCACACTCTTACTACTTATTCTCAATAAAGCAATTAAGGGAAGAATATTGACACAGTGCCCAGGATGGGTCTAAGTTAGTACTCTCCTGTGACACAAGTACATTGGGAATGGAGCATCTCTTTCAATCTACTGCTATTCTTTCTTCCTCAAGCGTTTGGAAGCTTTTGGAGAATAAACTGTTTTTAGAAGTATGGTAGCTTTACCACCTGTCCTTTTAGGTTACTCTTAAACAACGTTCTGTTCAAGGTTTCTGTAGATGGTTGCACTGCCCTTCAACATGCTCTTCCCTACTCTCCATGTGATCTGGGTAGAGCTGCATCTTTCTTGTTGACTGAGACCCTGAACATATATTACATTTGCAGTGTCAGTAGCAGGTGTGTTCTCCAATCATGCATTTGCTCTCAGGTTGGCAGGAAACACCTAGGGGAACTAGGGAGGGAGGAGAAACCCACCCTTTGCTGCTGCTGCTGCTTTGAGCAAGAGTGGGCCAGGAGCAGCTCTGAAGCATTTCTCCCTGTCCCCCCACACTTTCTTCCCTCTTCTTCCCACCGCAGGGACAGCAACAGTTAGGAGGGGAGAGCTCATGCTGCTGCCAGAGGGGAAGGGAAGGGGGGTGCCAAGTGAGGGGTGGAGACAGGATTCTTACCTGATTTGGAGACTTAAGTCCCCCTTGCTGCTCCCTTGGTGCAGTCTGAAAGGGCGGGGGGTGTGTCTGTGCCACTGTACCACCTCATGATCCATTTCTGTGTACACATCCGCTGTGGTGTGCAACAGGGAAGGGTCTGGTCCTCTGGCATCCTGCAGTGCTTTGCTTTCTTCCTCTTCCCCCTTGGAGGGAAATGTAAAGTCGCGGAGGAGGAGAGAAACCAGACTATCAGTGATCACCAGGGATCCAAGTTTTTTGTTCACCATGGAAGAGCACAATTTTTTCCTTTTAAAAGGGGAGAAACACAGATTTTTCACCTTTTTAAAAGGGGAAAAACATGGGAAAACATAGGTTTCCCTTTTGCAGGCTGACAGAGTTCCAGCCTGCAAAGGGCTGCTTGGAGCTGGGGGGAGTGGGATGTGTGCATGCACACATGCACGTGGCCAGCAGTACAGCCAGTGGTGGAGAGCCAGGGAGGCGGAGCTGGCTCCCTGCTGCTGTATGCACTCCTGGAAGGGGCCTGTGGTGGGGCATGT